GTTGCGCTCCTGCAGACACTGTTCTTCGAGGCCGGTTTCAGGTTTCGCAACCTGATTCCAGGATGGTCTCAGACTCGGACGTCCAGATTGAACCCGGAAGTGGTGTTGGGAGTCGCTCAGGACCTTCAACACTTGCTCGCTTTGGAACTCCTGAATTGGCGTGACATTGCTTCAGGGGTTCCATCGCAAATTGTTCTTGCACCTGGACTGAGCGTTCCGAAACTCGATGCTGAGGAAGACAATGCGGAAGACATCAAGGCTGAAGACCGGGAAGGTGATCTATTAATGTCTGATTACCAGGCCGGCGTCCTTGGCCCTGAATGTCTGCGGCGTCTGGAAGGCATTGGCATCCGGACTGTTCGGAGCCCTGTGGGTTCGTCGCTTGGAGAACCGGACTTGAAGCGCCAGCACCCTGCTCCGTCTTCAATTCCGTCCCTGAGCTCGCACCTGTCGCTACGGACGCCGACCCAAATCAGCTACGATTCGTCTCTCCCGGATGCCATGACGACGTCAAGCTCGCGACGCTCCTCGAGTTTATTCGGAGCGTCCGCTAGCAGCTCGGAAGAATCCAATGTCAGTGGCACCTCGGGATCACAGACGTCCCGGACGACGCATTCCTCGTTATCCTCAGGCTGGTCAGTCGGAGGCGCTACCGCGGCATCTCACATGCCGTATGCGGGTCCCTCAGGATTGGTGATGACCGCCCAAGGAAGTGCCATCCCGGATGCCGGAGGTTCAGGAGGCCAAGTGACGCAGACGTTTATCCCGGTGCCACGGGTGCAAGTTGGCCAGGACGATGTCGAGATGGCAGAGTCAAGGGGCGCTCGCATCCGGAGTGCACGCCGGTCGAAGACGTCCAGGAAACGACGAACGGCCCGAGCGCCGAGCCCGGATGATCCGTCGGGGAAGTCTAGCCCGAATGACGACGATGATGCTCGCTGGAACTCGAAGAAAGAGGACGACCCTGACGAGCCCAAGCGCAGCATTCCGAAGGGCGAGCCCCTAGGCCGCGTTGAGCGTATCGCTCCGCAGCCGAAGGAAGGTGACGCCCGAGATGCCAACGGTGCGCTGAAGCTGACACAGGATATGCTGACCCGAATGGAGCTCCGTCAAGACCAGATGAGTCTGAACGTTGAGCGTGCCTTCACAGCAATCCTGTCGCTGGCTCAACGGGCTATCGACCAGGAGGAGCGCCTCGCCCGGAGTGTGGAGGCCCAGAAGAGTCCGAAACCGGAGTTCACTGCGTCGTCCCGCGAAGGGTCGAGAAGCACGCCGCCAGGTGTGCCATCCGAGGTGTCGTCGTCGCCTGCCGTGCCATCGCTGGAAGTGCTCATCCGCCAGGCCGAGGAGGCCGCGCGCGCCGAGCTCGAGCGTCACTGGGAACAGCGGCAAGCCGAGGTCGAAGAGGAGAAGAAGGCTTGGACAACGGACATCGAGCGTACTCTGAATGTTCAGTTATCAGCCTTCCAGCAGAAGATTCGTGATCTGGAAGACGCACCCAATCGGGACCAAGCTACCATCCGGATCCTCCGGAAGGTTCCAGAAACTCGCTCGCGCAACCTTCCTGCAACATCGTCCCAGGTTCAAGGAGCTGAAGGGTCGCCTTTACCTGATCCAGTAACTCAAGAATCTGGTCGCGCAACATTGCACCCACAATCGGGTAACGCAATCAAGGGACACGCAGGGGGGAGACGAGACAGAATGGGTATGGATTCCGAAACAGACAAACTTCGTGCAGCCCTTCGGGGAGTGACTGAAGTAAAGTATGTGAAGGAAGAACCGGTCGCCCGGAGCAGAGAAGTGGCATCTGAAGCCGTTGAGCCTAAAGGAGCCCGAGCGACTTTCCAGCAAGCGGAAATCAAGCCGTCGGCTAGCGATACCAGAGGTGATGGTCAGAAGTCGGTGCCGAAGAAGCCGCGCAAGGAGCGCTCGCGCCGCAGCTCACGCAAGGACAAGGACTCCTCTGGGCCGGATAGCGACCCGGAGTCAAGCGACAGCAGTTCCAACTCAAGCGACAGCGACTCCGACTTTCCAGCAAGCGGAAACCAAGCCGTCGGCCAGCGATACCAAAGGTGATGGCCGGAAGTCGGTGCCGAAGAAGCCGCGCAAGGAGCGCTCGCGCCGCAGCTCACGCAAGGACAAGGACTCCTCTGGGCCGGACAGCGACCAGGAGTCAAGCGACAGCAGTTCCAACTCAAGCGACAGCGACTCCGATGCCTCTCTCCGGAATGCGCCGACGAACTACGCCACGATGAAGACGAGTCCAGCGGGACTACAGTGATGCAATTCAGGCCGTACGTCAGCTCGAGCACTCTGGATGATTTTGACGAGAAAGCCTCGCTGACTGCGCGCCGCCGCTGGTGGGAACGGTTCCTGAACCTCACTATTCAGGGAGGTTGGAGCGACGAGATGAAGGTATACGAGTTGAAGCTCAAGATGCCACCCGCCGTCCGAAATTGGAGGGGCCAGCTCGCTCCGAAGGACCGTCGTGACTGGAAGCGATTATCCAGGCTGTTCCGGCGTGAATACGTGAAGTCCAGGATGTCCGAGCCCGAGCGTTACTACACTATGTCCCAGTACAGGGATGAAACTGCGCTCGCGTTCTTGTACCGCCTGAATCTCGCC